TCAGTCAGAGAGGCCGAGATAAAACAAACCAAAGAACTGTGTCGAGGAATTCCTCCACGTGTCAAAGACAGAAGGAGGATGAGTGGCAAACGGACCACTTTAGGACTGATACCGCCCGGAACATGTTGGTAGCTGCTACGCTTCTTCCATCTCAACATCTACCCTGCTGAGGACCACCACAGTGTCCCTAAAACATCGTCCCTTGGAAAACATCCTGGCTATATTTCGGGAGATTGTTAGCACTTCATACACAGCCTGTTGAGAGTTGTGAGTTGAGAACACAGCAAAGTACAAAAGGACAGCAGGAAAAGTCGTTGGTGGAATTATGTCGCCAAGAGGATCACATGTGTGTAATTTGTGTTTAAAATACAATTAAACAACGTTGGCTAAAATGCATGCTTTCTAAAGTGATTACTCATTCATTTATAAGGTTTAGTATTCATGCTACATTCACACCAAAAGTGAAGCAACTTTTCGCAGCGCCGAACTCGCGCGAGTAGTTGTTGGCCACTTTGATGACCTGTTGCATCGGATCAGTGCCAGCGTCTCTCGGTTAGACACCAACTAACTTACAGCTGTCCAATTTCAGCTGCGGAACGCCTGTCTGTCTCTGGTGAGTGGCTGTTTCACAAAGTATATTCACGCTTGTGCAGCAGGATGGTGGTGATGACAGGCGGAGCATCTCAACGCCGATTGGCTTTCGGAAGACATCGTCGGGCAAATTTTATGCCAAAGTAAAAATAGTATAAAAATAATATTTCGCTTTTTTGCATCTGATAGCCAGTTTTAAAACTAATGAAATATCTGAGTGCACTTTCCTATCGCAGGCTTTTTGCCTAGGTCAGCCTGTCCACCCAGTCACGCTCCTCATTGGGGCTGATTGACCTCTAGTTCAATTTCATGCATGGATGGCAGAGAGCTGTCATTAAGCAATGTGATTGGAATATTCAGATGACTGTTTTAATTGAAGAGAGACAGTGTTCACTCATGGCGGGGCCGGCGGTGATGTTGAATGCCCGAGGCGGAGTCCCCGAGCGGCCCAGACCCATCTGATCACGGCTCAGTGGAGACCAGGAGCCCACCAACACTACAGCAAAGCCCTGGCTGCTTTAAAGCCTCCAGGCTTCCATCACATCCACATCCCACTGCACACACACCTGCACAGCGCAGGAAGGGAAGGAGGAAGGAAGCACATGAGGAGAGAGGAAAAAGGAGAAGTAAAGAGAAGCCATGAATGAAGTGAGTGACAGCTTAATGTGAAGCACATACATGTTAACATGCGCAACAAGGGGTCAGTGAGGCATGGAAACACAACTGAATGATCTCCATTCAGAGTACTGATATTTCACCAAAACCTGAGTCAGCACCTGTAAGTAGTGTCCAGCACACACACAGCTTTTCTCTCCTCATGTACAGTACGAAAGCTTCAATGGCATTTTTTAAATGCTATTGACTTCTGTATTATAGTGCTAATTATTGTATTTAGAAATAGAAGTGCTGTCTACATTATGTATTTCTAATTATTTCAACATTGCTGTAAATACGGTTGTATTGAATTTAGAGTCATACTTTTTATTCATACATTCAAACTAGAATACACCCACACACAAGTAAAGAACAAGAACAATAAAAAATATAATATATATTTAGAAAACTAGAATATTTAAACTGGACAAGACTGAAAAACCTCAATAATCAATAATAAATAATAATAATGAATCATTCTTTCTCCTGTGTTGTCTTACCTGTGGATGATCTATACATCTTATTTCTTTATTAATAATAAAAAAGAATGAATTGACTCCTATCTGAAAGGTGAATTATTGTCTTTATTTACAATATATATATATATATATATATATATATATATATATATATATATATATATATATATATATATATATATATATATATATATATGTATATTGTAAATAAGTCATTACACATTAGGATACCGTACATGGCAAAATTCTGTCGGCTAAATGTAGCTTTTTACCAGTTTTACTGGTGCTGTGAAATAAAAATAATTAGTTTCTGAAAAAGGTTTGTTTCTCCTCTCAATAAGTGTTTTACTATGCCCTGTTTCTATTCTTTCTGTAATTTCTCCACGATTACATGCAATAATATCTTCATTATTAGATGAAGCGTATTGCAGACGCGTTGTCATGTGCAATTTAAAAACAGCCTCCGTTTTCTTCTGCAAGTTTTTCCTGAAAGAATAAATGATATGCGCTAAAATATAGCGTTGGCAGGGCAGCAGTCTGCTGTACGAGCGCTCTCTCCTCGACTCATAGACGGATGAAGAGAACAAATACCACAGTTGTGCAGGAAATGATGAGGCTTGTTGGTTGCCAGGATCAAGGAAAAAAGAAGGAAATGGTTGAGTGATGCTGGGGTCCTCCAGCCCTTCAGCCCCTGACGCCTGGTCCTCTTACCGTGCGCAGGCACCTCCTGTCTTGCCCAGATCACCCACTCCTCATCCGCATTAATTGGCTGTCAAAAATGTGCTGAATTAACGGATTAATGAGCATGGATTTGAATCCTAAGTTTGGCGAAGGGGGGATGTTTGCCTGCCGTGGTGCAGTCCCCCCCCTGCCTCCCCTCTCGTGTGCGCAGGCCTGTTACAGATATGCATCCAGGACATTTGAGCGGATTGCATTTCATTAGTTTGATTTGAGCGGACAGCACTAAGCTGCTGAGGGCTCTGCGCTGACAGCTAATTACAGGAATCAGCCTTGTCCACTGATAGAGAACAATGGGCTGGGATGAGCCCGCCTAGCCAGGGGGACCGGCCCTGCTTACAGTCGCAGCATTTGGCCTGCATATAGTCCCCGGAATGGAGAACCATTACTTGTGTTAAAGGGCATAAAGGGCATAATTGTGATTTACATTCCTCCTTCGCTACCAACTCTTTTTTGAGATATAAACAGAAAGAATGATGGAAAGATAGGACAAATGTCCATCCTGGCAACCTGAAGCCACCCCACCCCCCCTCTACCCCCACCTCACCCTCCCTTTCTATTCCCGCTGTTACCTTCTAACCCACAGCATCCTCCATCCCCTCGCCCAAGACGGCCGACCGGCTGCGTGCATGGGTCTGTCCGCTTCCATAACTCCATCCATCTTTAAATCATCAACATTAAAACACGCAGCCCACTCATGTGAACACTTTCCCCCTTAAAAGAGAATTAAATGGATTAGCACAAACGTCAGTAAATTTAGCGGTGCATTACCCCTGCAACATTCCGAATGGCAGATCTCAGTCAGACAACAGGATTAGCGGAGTTCCTGCTCCCTGCCTGCCATAATCTCTCTCTCTCTCTCTCTCTCTCTGTTCTTCCGCTGACCCCGCACGGAAGAAGTTTTATTTTTATTTTCATCTCTAATGATCAACTTTGTTTGTCAAGCTGAGCAAAACTACTTTGGATGTTGTGTTTTCCTTAAAGCTGAGCGTAGATGCAATTTTAGACTCCCCTCTGTCTCAATTGGGAGGCACTGATATGGCCAGTGGCTAGCAGCCAGGTGGGCTGACACAGACTATTATTTTGGGAGCGAGTAGCACCATCTCTCAGCTTTTTGTGCCATTTTCAGGTCAGGCCTTTAGGTCATTTTCCCCTACAGATTCTACCAGTCTATTTTCTGGTCGGCTGATGGAAGGTAATGACTGAGCGGCTGATGGTGGTGCTGGCTCTGCCTGCATGTGACCATGTCGTCTACGCTCAGTGACAGGGCCTGCGGTGGCCGCCGTCTGCCAGGGGAGTGCCAAGGAAGAGGCAGAGCCCAACGCCTGGTCCGGGGGTCAATGTGAGGTGGCCCCTGCACTGACTGACAGGACATCGGGTTTGTTAGCGAGATTTGTCCCTGCCGCGGATCTCCTGTCGGCCCGGTTGTGGCACTCGTGTCAATTTGCACCCCACGCACGTCGCCGGTCTAGCTGACAGGTGAACGGTGGTATGGCGTCCTGTCCGCCTAATTGTACCCCGAAGTCCTGCCTGTGTGTGGGTGCAGAGGATGGTTGAGGCCCGGGCCTGTTAGCGCCCTGCTCGACCTGGCGGCCAGGCCCAGAGCAGCCTCCTCAGCACGGGAGTAATCCAAGGTGAGGGCCTGTCGCTCTGTCAGCTGGGTGTCGGGCGTGTGCAGAGAATGATGGACACAACACACAGAAATGAATTGTAAGCCTGCCCTCTGCACATGGGAGCAAGCATCCTCATACTCATCCACAAACACCCACTCACCACAATAAATCAAAGTACATTTACATGAAAGCCAGGGAGAGGTAGATAGACACACACATCCATGTGTGTAAAGCACGTGTATTCTTTGGGGATTCCGTGGCATTGAGCCTTGGAGGGGGGGGGGGGGGGGCTGTAATTGTCAAATTGTCCATATTTGAATTCCCCAAAGAACTTTGGATGTAAATATGTTGAAAGCAATTCTGAAACAATTGTTTAGCAGCTACTACACTTAATAAATGTGAAATATTTAATGGCACAAGACTCAGCGATCCCTCAAACAATGCAGATGTTTCTCATTTCCTTTCTGTTGTCTTCCTGAATACCTTAAAAAGGACGTGACACGTGTGACTGACAAACAGCAAATGAAACCCCTCCTAATCGTGCATTTGTTTTTTCACACACAATATTAAGTCAAGGATGTTATCTGGTTTGATGAACAGTGTGCACAGAGTGTGTGAGGCCAGTGTTTGTGGGGGGAGTGGGCTTGCAGGGGATAGTCGGGAGGTGTGCCATTTCCTGGCTCATGAAGGCTTCGGTGCCAGCTGTGCGGGGCTGGTGCTGCTTCCTGGGGGCAGATGCCTGCAGTGCTGCCTCCATGATCCCAGCTCTGTTCCTGTACCAGCCCCTACAGTCTGCTTCGCGCCTTGGGGAGGGGGGGCGGGGGGTGGGAGGGGGGTACATGCATAAACCTTGCAAATGCTTGTGCAAGCACAGTCACACAGAGCACATACAACTGGGAAGTGCAAATTCTCTCTCTCTCTCTCTCTCTCTCTCTCTCTCACACACACACACACACACACACCTCCTAGGCTCTGGAGCATTAATTAGGCAGCCTACGAGTCTGCCACACCATGGTATACCTCCATCGCACACTGGAAAACAGGCGAAGAGGACGAAAAGACACACATGCTGCAGAATCCAGAGGAACTGGGAGGTGCAGCCGGACCCAATAACATAGACAAGAAGAAAAGAAAAGATTCCAGTCGCTTTTTGCCTCTGAACATCAGCTCCTCCTCGCCTTCAAGTGGCTTGGCCACCGCTTTCATCAGTAATCCCTTGTCTCCGCTCTCGTCTCCGGGCCCGTTGTTGCTGACACCACACTGGCACCCAGAGGCCGCGGTAGGTACTGCAGCCTCTGCGTCACCGCCTCCCTCCCCCACACACCACCAGGCCTATAAATAGGCTCTAATTAACCACAGCACTAGAACTTTGGAGATGTTGTTTGTTGTCTTGTATCTATAGAAGCTGCTCCTCTCTGGGATTGAAGAGGGCTGAAGGTCTCCTTACTTGGGTACATAACAATGTAAGTTAGTTCAGCGTTCGTGTTGAAATGAATGAGTGAAGGAAAAACTCACCAAGGGGCCTGATGAATGTTGCTTTCCAACCACAGCAGTTGTTTATTACTCTTATGCATTTGAGGATTCAGTTTGACTTGATTCTGTGAAGAAACAGTTGACATCTCTTCAGCAAGTCTTCAGCAAATATAATAATTGATATGGCACTATAGCTGTCAGGATTTGTTTATCTTAAAGGGCCATGGATATGATTTTGCATTTATAATATAATTTACTACAGATCAACAGTAAACATGTAAGCCCTAATGTTTACACTAAACTGAAACAGACATCTGGTTTAAGCATAAATTCTCTTCTTATACTTTTTAATAATACAAAATATTTAGTGAATATTTAGTTACAAAGAAAACATTTGTCTACAGATACTGCTGTGGTACTTGGAAGAATGAACCTTATATTTATCAATCCAATTGCATATCAGCAAATCTCAAAAATGAATAACAAGAGTCACCATTTTTACATGGCACAAACACACACACTATACATATAATATATATATATATATAGTTTGTTGTGTTTTTGTTTTTTTATATAAATAATGAAACTTGTAAACAAAGTGTAAGTAGGTGACTGATCTAATTTTGTAAAATTACCATTACGGTGAAACTGCAGCTGGATTTATTTGAACAAAAACGTGTCCTAAACCACAAAAAACAACAAGCACAGTGGCATCCTAAATTGAATCATTATATTGCATTTCCTTGTCAGTATCCCCTCAATCTCACGACGTCTTATTGGTGAAATCAATGGGAAGTGAAGACAGAGTATCCTGACAGTGTGCACGCTGCACAGTTCACCCTGCTGCCTCTCAGTGTGCGCAGGGCTGTGGCAGCTGTCTGAGCGCGTGTTTTGCCCGTATGGGGCAGAAATGCTCATGGTGCACTGATTTCCGATAGGTCTCCACCTCCTCTGCTGCTCGTGGCCTGCGGCTCCTTCCTACTTCTCCTCCTTCTCCTCTGCATTCAATCAATCGACTGACGCCGCTGACCAGCTCCCACAGCGCGCTGCCGGGGGAGGGAAGTTATTGGAGTCGTGTGGTTGTGAGCATCAGATACCTCCAGTGGGTTAGGCCATTCCATAATGTTTGAAATATCTGGAAATAATCAACCAAAATCTAAAAAGTAAAATAGCTGATCCACCGGACTCTCCACAGTGGCATGCTCTGTGTTTAACATGTGTGTTGTTTCCCAAATACTGATTTTTTAAGATTTAGCTGACATTCATTAAACAAATGTAAACAACCGGCTGGTTAACTATATATTTATCACTGGTACATCTCACGAGATAGGGATTTTATAATCTTATACGTATAACCTTGTATTAAATTACCTTTGAACTAATATCATTTAAAGAATTACATAATTAATAATTCAAAACATAATTACATCGTTTTACATAAAGGCGATCTCCACAATAGTGGAAGCTGCAAGACCATAAATTAGGTTGTAAATCATTTGCGGTTAAATGAATCTGCAGAACACACTTATGTCCAGGAATATGATTTAAAGTGAAAGCATCGCAAATGCTTCCAAAATATTTCAGGACAAACACTTGGAGTGAAAAAGAATATTTTAAAAATACAATTACATCCTCCCAAACAGACCATTTATCCATCCACAGCAAATGTACTGAAATCGATGGCTCAACTGATATATCATGAGTAAGCATTATCAATCCATAAATACAGCCCGAAATAACCTCATAAGTAGTCAACAGCCATTTACAATTCACCCTGAAAGGTGAAAAAACATTATCTTCAGGAAGTACCATCCTGGAATCAATACTACAATGTCAGAATAAAACATTACAAGAAAAGCCTTGTATTTCAACTATAGCAGTATTACCTGCAGTGGCGGCAGGCCAATAGAGTGAAATCGGGAGTCACCCCACCTGGAGCCCAATCGAAGAAGAAGAAAAAAAAAAGGATTAAATCATAAAACTTGTAACTTGAAATATGGAATGTAACCAGGAATATTTGTAAAATATACGTCCTTTCTTCATGCGCAGTTCAAGATTGCCCTTAGAAGGCGGGTCTAAGAAGCAATTTAGCCAATTGCTGGTTAAATAAAATGATGTGTAACATTACATTTAGCCACTCAGCGTCCTTAAATAGTCTCAGCCTGGGGCAACATTGGCTTTGCCACAAGCGTTCACATTCTCGTCGAGGCTGGTATCGACAGGCAGATGAGATTCTGGAGGAATTAAATAGCACAGATTTTATCTTTCATATTTACATTATACTGAATTGAATGTGAGGGTGACAAAAAAAGATTGTGGAAGTATTATTTCCGGCTTGTCTTCATTTTCGAATGAATCTAAAAAATTGAACCGCAAAGTAATAATGTGTTATTGATACCTAAATTGTTTTGCATTAAATCCACCTGGGATGTTTGCTCAAATTGTTTCGATTGCCCTACCTACAATATTTTCCACTAGCCGCCACTGATTACCTGAAAAATAAACTCATTTTAAGTAGTGCCTCTTCTGTTGCGTATTTTAATAAACAGTACATCACAAGTACCACTCAAACACAAAGGATAAAAGTAATTTACTACTTTAACACACGTATTCCATAACTTTTCACCACTAGATCGATCTTCTCTCCTGCAGATAAAGAGCTGACAAGATGTTGCAGTGAGTGTGCAGGTTCATACAGTGAAATACACTGTATATATGAGCTGTGTAAGCAGCATTCAATAGGTCATGTTTTAACGGAAGGAAATACTGCGCTGTGTACATTTTGTATACAAATGGCTGAACATCGTGTGGCTGCACCTTATCTCCTGCTCTTATTATTGTTAGCATTGTTACCAAATAGCATTTTGCTTCTATATTTTAACGCCCTCTGAGGAAAATTTGTTATTTCTGATTGTGGGCTATACAAATTAAAATCCTGGGCAATATGTGATTAGTTGATGGTGCCGAAAAGTGAACTTTATCAACGCTAAACATGCCATGATCTTCTCAGGCATAAGACTTCGTTTTCCCGCTGTCACAGATGTGATTCCAGAAGAAAGCACCGCTGCTGTCTTCACCTGTTTTTTTCTTGTGAGGCTTCACCTTTGAGACAGGGGAGATGTAGAAACCAGGTGTGTGATAGAGAGCACTGTCTTCTGGGAAACGAAGGTGCCTGCTGTCACGGCCACCAGTGCAGGAGTGTGTGTGTGTGTGTGTGTGTGTGTGTGTGGGTGTGGCCAACACCCAGGGGAGCTGGTCAGCTGTTGTTTCATGCAGGAGATTACACAGCTTAATCAGGTAGCAGGATCAGGTGCAGCTGAAGCTGTAGAGTCTCAATACCCAAACACACACACACACACACACTCACACCCCTCCCTTTACACCCAATTAGCCCCATCACCAGCCCCTCCATGCCTAGGGACCACAGACACATACAGGTAAGCACAGCCAAACCCATGTACAGGCCCATACATGTAGCATAATCGTACCTGCACACACACAGACACACACACACAGAGCAATCACAAAATGGTTCCGTGTAATCTAAACCTGAATCGGTCCTTTTTTTAAAAGGAGATGTCCTGTCAGTGCCAACCCAACTGATTGAATGACACAAACAAGATGTGGAATTATAATCAGACATCTTTGTTTCAGTTGAGTTGATTAGGTCTAGATGCAACCTGTAATTTATGCACAACATTTACGTGGACGTATGACAAGTGGAGCAAATGATAAAGGACACCTAGATTCATGCACGGCACATTACAAAGAATGTCAGGAAACGTTACGTATGACAAGTCCAGTAAGGGTATTTGAGGGTGATGAAGGAGTCAAACAAACACAGGACTTTAAAACATATTTTCATGTGTAAAAAAACTCCAGTTATTATCTATCACCCAACCAGAAAACCTGTTACAGGTAGAAAAGTTTCTGCAATGAGCCACTGTATGTGATAGATATTGTTTAGGTTCTAAAACATAAAAATAACCCACCCCAACACTTGCTTGTAATTATATCATAAACCAGAGGTCCCCAAATACAAAGAAAGAAAAATAAACTCAATTGTTTTTCATTTTTTACTTTTTGAAAAATATTTCATTTTGAAGGATGACCGGATTCTCTCCCAAGTACATGCGCTCGCCCCCCTTGACACAATTCCCAGGCGTCAGCCAAGCGTTCTTATTGCCGTGCGCAGCGACTACCCCCCGTTGGACAGTACGTCCCCAACGACTACAAATGAATAACCTGTGTCAAACTGATCAAAACGTAGGAACAATTTCATAAATTAAGGGAAAAATATGCATATTTTTTCTTTCTGTGGCCACTCTATCCACATAAAGACTTTTTTTTTATCAAAATACAGATAAATGATTTCACTAATTATTGAATTAAATTAATACATTTCAGTTTGACACATTATTGGCCAGTATTGGGAAGAACAATCAAAGGCTGGTGCCAAGCCTGCGAGAGGTGCAGTGTTGCTAAAAATATACTGCCCCAGGTTAAAGCCCCTATGGGCCACTTGTTAGCCTCCAGACCCAACGAAATACCAGCCATTGACTTTTGCAGTTTAGAACCTGCTGGAGATGAAAGGGGACAGGTTTTGGTGCTGACTAATGTCTTCTCCAAGTTTACCCAGGTGATCCCTACCAGAGATCAGCGGGCCGCTACTGTGGCAGATGGGTTGACAAGGAGTGGTTTTACAAATTTGGTGTCCCGGCCCGAATACACTCCGACTAAGGTCGCAGTTTCGAAAGCACAATAATCCAACAATTGTGTGGCGTGTATGGCATCAAGAAGTTTAGAACTACCCGCAAGGAAGCCAATGTGAACGCTTTAACAGAACCCTTCATGACTTTCTGCACAAAATGGCCAGGATATCTTCAACAGGTTCTGTTCAACTGCAATACCACCACACCAAGCAAGAGGGGACAGTCACCCTTCCTTCTAATGTTTGGTCGCGAACCTCGGCTGTCTATAGACTTCTTGCTGGGCAGTGTGGACCACCAGCGCAACTGCAGGTGGCGGTGGGAAATGCACGGGAAAGGATGAAGTGGGCCGCAGCACAGGAGGAAGTCTTTCCCTCAGGAAAACATGTCTACCTTCTAGACTTCTCCATTAAAGGAAGAAACTAAATCCAGGATGCTTGGGCACCTGATGGTTTCCTGGTGGTGAAACCCCCAGGGCTAGAGGGTGCAGTGTATACTGTTGGCCCACAAAGAGGCTAACAGAGGTACGACATGTTAACCGTAGCATGTTAAAAACTCTACCTGTTTTCAATTGTTATCCCACCCCTGGAGATGCACCTAACCCCACTGCAACAAGTTGGGCCTGCAGCTGGACCAAATAACCCCCGGCCTAGTAGAGGACAGACCCCGATAAAAAAAAGACTTGGGACAGATGTAGCCAGTAAGAAAATGTCCCTCCTGATCTGCTGTAGGTTCAGGCCCTTCCTACTTCCTGTTTCACCATTACTCCGGGTATAAAGGCTGCACATAATGACAGGATGCTGTGCCTTTATGTGTCGGAGTCTGGTTTGACAACCCATTGAGCTAGTAGGTAGTTTTATCCTCCGTATTTTAGAAAAAATGATTTGGCCATTGGTCACGGTTCTGGTTTGTACACCAGATCCAGTTCCTAAGGGAGGCCCAAACCAGGTGTGAGCCGGCCCAGGTGGAGAGAAAAGCCATGCTGGGATTAAAAGCACTGCGGGTTTTTTTTTTTTATATATTTTGTTGTGTTTCTTTATTTTGTTTTTGTTTTGTTTTGTTAAGTTAGAATATCTTTTGTTGGTAGTTTCCTGTATCTTAAACTAAAATCTGGATTTTCCCCCGGGAGGTATTTTGCAAAACTTTGCAAAACTTTGCGAAACTTTGTTTCTGTTTAGTGCTTGGGGCCGGCAGCAGCGTGGCAACCCTAACTGAGTTAGCCAGATCATTTTAAGGATAAGATGACTTAGATCAGGCTCTTCGGTTCCCCAAATCATCCATCCATCAATCCATCTTCAAACCACTTATCCTGCACACCGGGTCGCAGGGGGGGCTGCAGACAATCCCAGCAACTTCGAATTAGAGACTGGGTACACCTTGCATTGGTCGCCAGCCAATCGCAGGGCTAACACCCTGCAACCATTCACACTCACATTAAGTTAACCTGATGCACAATACTGAACATATTGTACATCTTTTTAACTCAATCAATTTATCTGACAGAAATGATTCAAATAGACATATTATCTCCTTAAATGCATTCATATTCAATAATTTGCTACTCGTCAGCGGAGAAAAAAGACTCTTCCTTTGAGTTTATTTGCCGTTGTACCGTTAAAAATCCTGGTTTCGGTGATCCACTCTTCCGCCTTTTAACGTAGGATGCGCACGCACTATTATCCTGATGACTGACATCTAGTTCAAACTAACGAGACTATTTGAGCGCGGATCAGTCTTTGAGGAACCAAGATAGCCTGATATCAATCATCTCGTTAATTTGAGCCACGATAATAGGACATTTGATCCACTTAGAGGAACAGGGCCCTAGACCCAGAGCCGCCCCCCCCCCCCCCCCCCCCCCTCCGTTTAAAGTGGGACCTTGGGGCCCATGCCCCGAGGTAAAAAAAACGGGGCCACCCAAAAAAAATCTTTTTACCACCCCGAAATATTTTTTCTGGGAACCGGAATTTTCCCCACCAGATTTGCCTCATGTTTTCCCCATTGAAAGAACAAAGACCGGGCCTCTGAGATACCACCGCTGATGTGTCCACAGGCCTGACAAAACGTGGGGGGGTAGGGGGCTTATTTATGGAGAGCTTTCGCGGATCCCCCCCCAAACTCTCACTTTTCGATTCCACTGTCTGGATCTTGAGATTAATTAAATTTCTATCCAGCCAGCCACCAGCACGTCAGCCATCAGCTCCTTGCTACACCGACGTTGGAGAGAGGGCAAGTCTGGAAGTGTGAGTGCAGCTACTTTTATAATGGATCTGTACCTTGTACGGTTTCTGCTCCTCTCTCACGCTCTCTTTCTACCATAATTCAAGTTTTATTAATGCACATGACTAATTCAGCTTCTTTCCGGGAGTTTTTTTTGTGCTTTCGCCCCTATCAGGTCTCCATAGATCGTGGTTCCTTCGGGACCCTGGTCCTGACACCTACCGTGGCCATGCTGACGCCTGCTGCTGCCATCATCATCATCATCATCATTATTTTATATATTAATCATATTACTTTACTCATAAACCGACATTACCCTCTCCTAAAATCTCTGTGCTCTCCCTCCCCACAGGATTCTGTGGATGGTGGTTCTATCTGATGGTGGTTGCCCCTGCAGTGGTCCTGCTGTGCGCCTGGCTTACTACTCACAATTACTTGAATCATTTCTGTCATAGGAATTGCATGTATTATACATTGTTCATTCTGTACACATGGCATCCATTGTAGTCTGTCCATCCCGGCAGTGGGATCCCTCCTCTGACGTTCTCCCTAAGGTTTCTTCCCTTTTTTCCCTCTTGTAAGGGTTTT